CATCAGTGCTATGTTACAATATATGAAGAATTGTCTTTGAAGATCTGTTCATTCAGGGAGTGATTAAACAACTTTGGCATGGTTCCCAGATTCGTCAGAATAGGGCAGTGTATGAAACATTTTTCTTTTGGAAAAATAAGAATGGCTGAATCACCACATTTTAACTCACAGAATATTCTTGCATGGTCAAAAGGACACATGTTTTTTTTATTTATTACTTAAGTTATAGTAATTGGCAAAGAGCCTATTTTCATTAATCATCAGGAAGCATTGCTCTTAAGCTTTTTTCTTTAACCAGCAACAATTTAAGCAAAGTTTTATGCTGTATTGCAAGAATCCATAATTTTAATCATAAGTTTGTTGAGCAAACCAACATTTGCCATCACAAAACATAAGCTATATTTTTTTAATAACAGAAACTACCTTAACATTTAGGATGAATAATAAATTCAGTCAATAGGTATATACTGTGAATTATATGTAAAGAGATTTATACCCTGTACTATCATAACTTAAAAATGTTATTGTCATCAAATGCTTTCTATTTGTACTTTTTACCAAAATCTGATTGAATAATAAAGGAACATTTAAATGTACATTTAATTTTGGCTTTCGATTAAATTTAAAAAATGCTGTCTTTAAAATTAATGGAAAGTAGAAGACATATATTTATAAAAGGAAAGCATTAATCAGTGCTTTTCAGACATCTGAGTTTTTATCCCATATCTTACTGACTATATGATTAGGCACCAAAGAAGCTCTGTCTCCCTTTGCTTATAAGAATTAAATTAAAATTAAGTTAATTTTAACTTAACAGATATTTAGAATGCTGTCTTATTTTAAAGAGGTCAAAGAATGCCGTCTAACTCTATAGTTCTCATCTTTGATGCTGTTAAAAGACATTACTGTCACACAAAGAATTCTAAAGCATGTCTACTGCTAGTTGTCCTTATAGACACAGGATCTACAGAAACAAATGTAGGGTTGCAATATCATTTCTTTTCTTTCTGAACTAAAATCTTCATTCAGGACTCTTTTGTGACCTACTAACTGCTGGAAAGCTTAGAGCTTGATCAAATGATGTCACCCTCAGCTTGCATTTCTTGTGTAGAGGCAGCCTGCAGTTGTACTTTGCTGTTTTGCTTCAAAACTGTTCTAACCTGACAACAATATATGCGAGAGTAATGCTGACATAGCTGTACAAAAGGACTTTATTTGAATGAGATGCAAGAAACCAGTGATCCTCACAGTCTCTCTCTCTCTCTCTCTCTCTCTCTCTCTCTCTCTTTCTCTCTCTGTGTGTGTGTGTGTGTGTGTGTGTCTGTTACATGTTCATTTAGCAATGATTTCAGTTAATAACCCGGAACTCCGTCATTAAACAAGAAGTAGGTGTAGATGGATGGATGTTAAAAGCTCATCCTAGGGTTCAGGATTCTTCACCATTTTTATTGTATGTGTAAACTGTGTTATTTACACATAATTATATTTATATAATGCATTTACCTTTGTTTCTAGTGTTAGGTTCTTTTCCTTTTCCTTTTGGGTATCCAGTCAGCAAAGAGGTTGTTGGACATTTTGACCCCATGTCAAAGTTCGGAAGTAAGGTATAGAAGACAGGAAGCGCAACTATAGAAGACAGGAAGCGCAACTAGAACAACCATGAAAGAGAGTGGTCAATGTGTGAATGATTTTAGTGTGAAAATGTTCAAGCAGTTTTGATGGGAAAAAGTCTTGGTACACTTTCATACCTTTGGTTAGATTGACAATGCTGGCACAAATAAAGCAAATTTCATAACATAAGAGATCAGGAGTTTGGCTTCTGTTCGAGATATACATGCTTTTTGTTTCCATTTATTATGCATGCATTTACATGCTTATTTTCAGTTCATGTTTCTTTTTAATCTTATTAATCTAAGATGATTAAGTGCTCACAAAACTTGCTTTTATTTTTAAGAAAATACCCAATATTTCAAAAAGTACAGTACATCCTTAATAAACCTAGTGATTTTGCCTTGCTTTATTTTTGCAATTGCATAGTGACTTAGAATGACTGTTAAGATGCTTCATTTTGACATTTGTATCACTGTGATAAAATATAAATTGTTTATGGAAAAAAAATCACTTGATAAAAAGTATTTGATGAACCTAAGTGAGATTTCTAAAACTCTCAATAATTAAAACTCATTGTCACTTTCAAATATGGGATTGTGAAATATATAAGTCATTTTAACTATACTTTTATTAAGAAACAAATCATTCCATCTATTCTCAAATATAGATAACATAAATTGTACAGTTCAAATTATCCAATGTCTGAAGATTATTCAGTAAACATTCATTTTAAAGTAATTTCCAGGTACCAAAACACAATTTATAATTACATGCTAATTGATAAAAAGTATCCTAAGTGCCATTTTGTTTGTCAAACAGTAAGTAGGACACTAAGGAAATTAACTAATTAAATTAGCTAATTTAACTCTACAATGAACCTGGCTGCAACCATCTTTGTCGTTCTAGGTTGCTACAAGAGAGGAGGGGGGACGAAGTATTTTTGCTAGTCTAAACATGAATAGATCCTATGGGAACAAGGTCATTCCCACACTAGTGGAGAAAGGGGAAGCATCCTGCCAGAAAGCCTACAAATTCTGTTGGAGAATGTGATTTATAGCAAAATAGAAGAGTAGGAACTATTACACTGAATTACTCTGAACTTTTTTGGGAGGATTTTAGTTTTGGTTTCACCTTTGACCGTGCCGACATCATTATCCAATAAACATGTTCTTTGAGGAAATCTCATGCCCCAGAGTTCTGATTTATTTGGTTCCATCAGTCAGAACCTTGAGTTTAGCATAATAAAATATGCATTGATTAATTATTATTTTTATTATTTCCAGTACCATTAATGTTTTAAAGGACCTAACAAGTACAGAAGGATGTCTTCATATGTATTTGTCCTTATGTGTGAATGAATGCTTAACCAAAATTAGAGCTTTCTCCATGTTCTCTGATTAATTCAGAACCTTGTTAATGAAGGTTGACAGGAAGTGTGGTATTTCTATGGTGTTGTATGTGTGCATGTAAACATGTTTGCTTTCCCAAGCAGAAAAATATCTCAGCCTGACTGCAAGCACTAATTTATATTAGAAGCAGTAAATATTACAGTTTGTTTTATCATTAGAATAAGCGGTTGGATTTTCCCCTGCATCGGGGGCATGCAAGACTACTGGGAAGGAGAAAAGAAGCAAGACATGGATAGCTGGGTGGAGGCTCTATACCAGTGATGGCGAACTTTTTAGAGACCGAGTGCCCAAAAACCACCCCCTGCCCCCACTCTGCCTCCCATCCTGCCTGTTCCGCCCCTACCCACCCCCTGCCCCGCCCACCTGCAGGGCCATGCACTGCCTCCATGGCCCACCACAGATTGCCCAGGTAGCCTTACAGTGCCATGGCAGCCATGTGCTCCGCCCACACCCCGCAGTATCATCTGCATGCTATGGAGCACGAGGATGGAGTCTTGTCCCTGCTGTCCTTGGCTGCACTGCTCCATGTGTGCCGCGCCCAGGGTGACTCTCCTCCAGGGGGGCTGCTGGTGAGAAGGGGACCACGGGAGGGAGGCGGGGCTGGGAAGACAGCATGCGTGCCCACAGAGAGGGCTCTGACTGCTGCCTCTGGCACACATGCCATAGGTTTGCCACCACTGCTCTATACTGACTTTGATCTGTCTCTGAACAAGGCCATCATATAGTCGCTCTCTGTGATGTAGAAATCACTTTTTTTTCTTTACTGTTTGGGAAAAATAAGTGATACCATAGGGTATCTTGGGAAAACTGCAGGCCAAAGTAGTATGAGACTAGAAATGAGCAGAGGAGAAAGGTGCATGGCCCATTTTCTTTGGTCTGTGGTGCTTGAGCTGCAATATTCTGGTTTCAATAGATGAATTACAAGAAATTCAGGCCTCTGAAGGCAAGCTTTCAATCTTATTTTGCCCATTGTACTTCTGTTTTTAAATATTGATTTCCTTCCCCTTACTATCACATGTGACGGGGTAATTCTCAGTTGAGATTCATGAATCTTTTCAACTGTCAACCTAAACATCTCACTTAAAGGGGTGTTTAAGGGAGAACAGAGAAGGGAGCTCCACATCTTGTTATATTATATGAACAGAAAATAGAATTCCATCCCACAAATTCTAGCTGGATCATTCTCTTTTCTCCATGAGCATTTGTCAATACACAGGACAACAGAAAGGATAAACTAAATAAATAAGTGTGACATGAGGTTTAGCACAATAAGAGCCTCAGAGAAGGTAGGGCACTTCAATTAATAAAGGAGCACAGAGTTCCTGATGGAGCCATTCTTTAATAATGTTTAAGAGCTACAAGGAGCCCTGGGAGAGGCTTTACAGATAACTGCAATGGGCATTTTTCCCAGCTCAGCCCAAGAGGCTCAGCTGCTGCAGTAGAATAAGTTCAGAAAAGAAATGAAAATTACATTCTTTCAGAAGAATGAGCATTTTTGAAGAAGGTTTCAGTCAGCCTAATTGCTTGGAAAAAAGCCTCCATGAATATTGAGAAAAGAAGCAGGCACGTGTCTGCTTTAGAATCATTCGACAGTTTATTTATTTATTTATTTATTTATGAGACTTATATACCGCTTTAAGTGCAAGCACTCTCTAAGCGGTGTACACCAGTAAGCAATGTATATATATATTTTACATTTCCCCCAACAATCTGGGTCCTCATTTTACCTACCCCGGAAGGATGGAAGGCTGAGTCAACCTTGAGCCGGTGAGATTTGAACCTCTGACCTGCTGAACATAGTCAGCTAAAGTGGCCTGCAGTACTGCACTCTAACTGCAACCAGGGAGAACTTGTGCCTTTTGGTGCTGTGACAGAAATTTAGATTGTTTCAATAATTCACCTGTAGACTTAATTCAAATCACACACAATTAAAAGTAGTTTCTTCCACTGTACACTTGCGATGTTTCTCTTTTTTTCCAGCATGACAGTGGTGACAAAAACTCCTCTGAATATAATTGCACTTGGAGGTAAGCAAAAATAATTTTAAACAGTTGCAATTCACATTATATCTGAAAGGTAAATGGTTCTTTAATGAAAACACTTGTATTTGTAATTTTCACAAAGATTATAATCCAAGAGGTAAAGAAGTTTCCTTATGTAAAAAAAATAAAAAAATAAAATAAAAACTTGTAGAAATGTTGACTTCCGAATATTGAAAGGGGACATTTCTTGCAATGGAAAGAGTAAGAGGCAAGAAAGAAGTCACCTGGAAATCAGGCAGTAATTTTAGTAGATCTTTGAATTTAAAATCGTAGGTTTTGAGATGTTTTTTTAAAATTAGATATCAAGCCTGATGTCTATTTAAATCAAAGCCAGGAAGTTAAGAGCAAATTGTTGTTGTTAGTTGCAAAGTCATGTCCGACCCATCGTGACCCCATGGACAATGTTCCTCCAGGCCTTCCTGTCCTCTACCATCTTCTGGAGTCCATTTAAGCTCACTACTACTGCTTCAGTGATTCCATCCAGCCACCTCATTCTATGTCGTCCCCTTCTTCTATTGCCCTCCATCTTTCCCAGCATTAGGCTCTTCTCCAGTGAGTCCTTGCTTCTCATTAGGTGGCCAAAGTACTTGAGTTTCAACTTCAGGATTTGGCCTTCTAAAGAGCAGTCAGGGTTGATCTCCTCTAGGATTGACCAGTTTGATCGCCTTGCAGTCCAGGGGACTCGCAGGAGTCTTCTCCAGCACCATAATTCAAAGGCCTCAATTCTTTTGTGCTCAGCCTTTCTTATGGTCCAACTTTTACAGCTATATATTGCAACTGGGAAAACCATGGCCTTGACTACACATACATTTGTTGGCAGGGTGATGTCTCTGCTTTTTAGTATGCTGTCTAGATTTGCCATAGCTTTCCTCCCCAGGAGCAAGTGTCTTTTAATTTCTTGGCTGCAGTCCCCATCTGTGGTGATCTTGGAGCCCAGGAAGATAAAATCTGTCACTAGCTCCATTTCTTCCCCATCTATTTGCCAGGAATTGAGAGAGTCAGATACCATGATCTTGGTTTTCTTAATGTTGAGTTTCAAGCCAACTTTTGCACTCTCCTTCTAGAAATGCCCTTATCCCTCAAACAAATAATGTTGTTTACATTCCTTTAATTTTTAATGGTACATGTTACTAGATATTTATTTATTAATTTACTCATTTATTTATTCAATTTATGTAGTTACCCATCTCAAATACATGGCTCGGTTAAACTTTTAAACTGTTTAACTGGCTCAGTTAAAACAAAAAGCAATAAATAAATGCAATACACAACAAAATAAAAAAAAAACATTTAAAACAAATTAAAACAATTAAAACCATGACATGTAAAATACAGGACAGTGTAGTCCATTTATTATCCCCTGGACAGTAAGCCTTCCTGGACGTAGGATTAGGGCCAATCTAACTTCAGAGACAGCTATTGTTTCAGTCGGCCTGTGCCATAGCAGAAAAGACTCTCCTTCTGGATCCTGTAGATGGCACAACAAATAGGCATGACCATTTCCTGCTTCTTCTACTGAAAAGGTAAATGTAACGAGAGATAAATGGTCCCTCAAATAACCCAACCCCATACCACATATGGAATTATTGCTCATTGCCAGCACCTTTAATTGAACCCAAGTGCAAACTGGCAACTAATGCACCTCCAAAGCAGAGGTGTAACGTGCTGATCTAAAAGGACATGAAACTACCGGTACTGCTACATTTTGCACAAAGTGCGACTTCTGAAATATCTGTGATATTTCAGGTAACACCCCAGGCCCACATGAACCTTAGAGAGCCCTTCCATCCTGAGCCACTCTTGACCCCCCCCCCAAATACTATGCTTTAGGGAGAGTTTCCAAAATTACTTAGGAAAGTTTCAATAGTTACTGCTCTTACAAAATAGACAACTTTATCTGTTGTTAATTAGTGAAAATTCATTGCTATTTCTTAATACAGCTGTAGATTATACAAGTTAGATACAGATAAATATTAAGAGACAGAATGATCCAGCTATTTCTGAAAAAATGGGGTTTTGTATATTTTTTCTGATAACACAGCTAGATAGGATTGCTATAAGTGACTATTGATCTTGGTGGCCATGTCATTACTGTATTCTGAGCTACTTAGGAAATATTCTTGGATACTACCATATGTATCTGCATATGTCTGTGTGTATTTGCACATGTATATATATGCAGAGAAACATTGGGTTTCAGTCTGTCTTAAGCACAGTAGTAGAAAAAAAAATCTCTGCCACTAATGACCTTCGATAGAAGAGAATATTTGCAGGGTTGAACTGTATGGTCCTTGGTGTTCTCTGAGCTTGGTGTTTTGGGAATATCAGTAATCAATTCAGAATAACATTTGGATGACAGGTTCTCTAATTCAGGGGTCCTCAATCCCCGGTCTGTGGACTGGTACTGGGCCACGGCATGCCAGCAACCGGTCCGCACAAACAAGCAAAGCCCCATCCGTGGGATGCAGGCAGCACATAAAACCATGCACCCTCCAGTCTGCAGAAAAACTTTTCTCCATGGAACCGGCCCCTGGTGTCCAAAAGGTTAGGGACATCTGCTCTAATTGTGCAGTACGTTATTATGATTAATTTATTATTTAATAAATAGCTAGCTGAAAAAATTGAACTCTTGATATTTTTTATGTTAAAAATATCTAGCAAACATCAAACAACATCATACGATATCTAGCTACTATATGTATAATTGCATATTATACAAAAGTTGGGTCTGATTAATATGTTTTGGCAGAATGAAGTCATAGAAAGTTGTAATATATACTTAGTTGTTGCTTTTCTCTGCAGTAAATGTGAAAAAATAAAAGAACTGATTATCATTCCTCATCATGCCAGAGGCCAGTGTTTGTAGTAATACTGAAATAAGTGTCTAGAATATTGGGAAGCTTTTGATCATAGGTTCCTTTATTGTGGCCTTTCTCTCCTAAGGAAGGGAAAAGGTGATTCAGCAGTCAGTCAGTGGCTCTAATTTTAAATCATGACTGATTCCAATGTTCCTTGACTAAATCAGGCTTGTATTACTCCAAGCCACTTGAAGCAGAATACATGGTTGAAACCTGTTACTATACCTGACATTTTTATGTTGCCTTTTCTGCCTTGCTTACCAGCCAGCTCTGTTCAACAACCAATCTCTTAGAGATAAAGGGTCTGTTTAAAAATTGGAGAAATAAAAATAAATAAATAAGCACATCCATGCTTATTTATCACAAATATTATATATTTTTGATGATTTTGTTTTTATTTTTTTTTTAATTTCCTTTTCTGCTATATTGTTATTTTTGAATTAAAGTATTTAGTTCAGTTTAGAGGTACAGCAAATAATCTTTATATATAAAAAAACTAAACTGTAATCAAACTTTCTTAGCTAACAGTATCTTCCAGTGCATTTTTATAAGTGATCACAAAAGTATTAGATTTTCCATTTAAATATTTGCAATCTTTTATAGCCTTATATTTCCCATTCTCACTAGAAAAGCTGTCAATGCTTCAAGGTGTTCTAGTGCTCTATACTCCTTTAGTCAAACTATACACAGGCTACATATTTTAGCATAATGCAAAATCAAAATGATTGTTATTCATTGAGTCCAAAATATATGTTTATGAAACTTGTATGATATTATCGTTGTTATCACTCCCTAAAAGTTGGACCTATGCAAGCACTTTATGTGAAGGTTGGGTCAAGCAGAGCCTGCTTAAGAGGTCTGGCTTTGTTTTCTGAGTTCTGCTGGCTTCTATGGTTTTATTCCCTAGACCAGGCATGTCAAACTCGCGACATCATGTGATATCGTGTGACGTATCACAACTTTTTCTCCATTACCGGCAATGGGGTGGACGTGGTTTTGGTGTGACGCATCGAGCCCGTGGGTTGGCAATTTGACATGCTCCCCTAGACTCTGATTTTTATTTTAGAGAAAGTATAGAAAAAAATGTCTATAGAGATTCTCAATCATCCAAGTCATGGTTGTCTCATAGGTATTTTTCCAAAAAGAAGTTGGACTTTCTTAGGGTTTTTTTTCTTGAAAACTTTTCTCATCTTCTCATCAGAATTGAAGAAGCTTCTTGGATGAGAAATGAAATGTTTTCAAGGAAAAAAAAAGAAAAAGGCAATACAGACAAGTTGCTTTTTGGAAAAACATCTTTGGGATATAGAAGTAAGTGATAGATGGTTATAGTCTTCTTTTTCCTAAATGTTTCATTCTGATGTTTTCAAAAGCTGGCTCTAGTCAGCTGAGCTAGTTAAGCTCCCAAGTCCAGCAATATATTGCAAATTAAGAGGAGAAGAACAAAGGAAATCAAGCTTTCTACCTGAAGGGAAATAGCATAGCTTAACCAATTAGTCAAGCTAGTTGTTGTTGTTGTTAATTGCGAAGTCGCGTCCGACCCATCGCGACCCCATGGACAACGTTCCTCCAGGTCTTCCTGTCCTCTACTATCTTCTGGAGTCCATTTAAGTTCACACCTACTGCTTCAGTGACTCCATCCAGCCATCTCATTCTCTGTCGTCCCCTTCTTCTATTGCCCTCAATCTTTCCCAGCATTAGGCCCTTCTCCAGTGAGTCCTTCCTTCTCATTAGGTGGCCAAAGTATTTGAGTTTCAACTTCAGGATCTGGCCTTCTAAAGAGCAGTCGGGTTGATCTATTCTAGGACTGACCGGTTTGAACGCCTTGCAGTCCAAGGGACGCGCAGGAGTCTTCTCCAGCACCATAGTTCAAAGGCCTCAATTCTTTGGCGCTTAGCCTTTCTTATGGTCCAACTTTCATAGCCATACATTGCAATTGGGAAAACCATGGCCTGGACTATACGCACTTTTGTTGGCAGGGTGATGTCTCTGCTTTTTAGTATGCTGTCTAGATTTGCCATAGCTTTCCTCCCCAGGAGCAAGCATCTTTTAATTTCTTGGCTGCAGTCCCCATCTGAGGTGATCTTTGAGCCCAGAAAAAGTCAAAAAAGAAAAAGTCAAGCTAGTAAT